CCGCCGCCGCCGTCTCAGCCGGCCGGGCCGGGGCGGGGGAGCGGGGCCGCCCCCATCACGGTACTTCGGGCAACTTCCAGCGCGGGGCGGGGCGGGGCGCGGGGCGGGATTGCCCGGGAAGGGCTGGGACCCACCTCGGCGGGAGTCGCCGCCGCAGCAGGTAGGCGGACGGGGGCACCCCCAGACCTTCCCAGCCGGGAACCAGAACAACTGCAGCCCCTTCCCGGACACGGGGACCCCCCCTCGAAAAACAAATACCCCCCGGGGGTGCCCCGAAACCTTCCGTGGGCAGAAGGGACAGTGGCCAGAATAAGCCACGTGGCCCAGACTCCGGTGGGAAACAGCAGCCGCCTGTGAGACTCTCCAAATACACCCCTGTAACTATCACGGCTCAGAGGGGTACCTGCCAACCGGGGGCAACAGGGTCTTCCCCAATCTGTGTGGGGCTGGTCCTGCTGGGGGTGTGAGTGTGAGCACATGTGTTTGGGGGTGGGGGGATGTGACCTCCCGAGATCCCTCCCACGCTAGGTGTCTGATTCTGGGAAGTTCCGAGCTATGTTTCCATCCCCGAGCTTGCCCAGCGTGCCTCGGATTTACCTCCCTTCCTCTCTCGCAGCAGGTGTAACTAGCCTTGGTTTCCGATACAGCAGTGTTTTTCGTGTGTGCAAGGTGCTTTGGACATGAAAAAGTGAAATGCTGTTGTGTGACTAAGAAAAGAAAATCTAGAAAAGAGACTTGTAAATAAGGGGATCTGATGCTTGTCATTAGTCTTCTTAAGACAAGATTGTCTTTGTGGTGTGTTTTATTTGGGATTAAAGGGCTGGAAGTTTAATTCAGAAGTAGTTAAAAAAAAACCCCCAAAACACCCTTGTCAGATACGACATTGTTTTGTCCATGCAGGTGCTGGATGAACGTTTTAATTGGTGGAAACAGGAATCTTCTGAGGCTTGATCTTCTGTAAACCAAAATAATTGTGTAAAATAAAATTTAACTAGTCTGATTAAGTTTTACTGCTAGTAACTTATTTCATAGTCATTTCTCTGTGGGACAAAGGGCCCTATGGATGCAAATAGTCCAACTGCTTCAGGTGTATTCTTTAAAGCAGTGGCTCCCAGGTTTGTTTGTTTTTTTTT